TGCAGCCGTCATTGTTGTTTGGCGGGCCCGGGCTGGGGATTCGAACCCACCACCTTAGGTGTATGTGGCTGGTGCCTTAGCCGCTTGAGCCACGGGCGCCGAGCCGGAGTTAGAATTTTCTTAGGTACCATGGTGGGGGGAATGCAGAGATAAATAAAACTTGGTCCCAGGAGTGCACGGCTCAGCAGTGAAGACAAACGTGTGCACACAAGTCCTTCAATTGGAGGCAAAAGGGTAAACACAGGATTGCGGCTCGGTTCCCAGAGACACCACGCGGAGGTAGCCTGGAACGTCACCGAGGTTTTTCACATGAGTTGGGTTTTGAATGAGGTTTACAACTGCTGGAGTAGAACGTTTTGTTTAAGGCACTAGCCAGGGTCAAGAGGCTCTGGAAGTGGGCGGAGTGGAGTAAGGAACGGTGGTGATTTGGCTGGAGCGACTCCCTAAGCGACGCAGTGGGGCGTAGATGGGTGTCTTCTTAATAACTAGGCTGGGACCTGGCCAAGGGCAGCCGAGCTGAGACTTTATTCTGCATGTCTGTGCTTTGACTTAAGCATCTACCGGGTGTCTTAAAAGAAAAAAAAATTCTCCTCTTTCCTGAACAGAGTTTTAGCAACTGGGGGCTGGGACCATCTCCTCCAGTCAACGTGGAAGTTACAGGTCTGCAAAGCGGTCCACGAGCTATTTAAATCTGGCACTTGGGGAACCAGAAAAGGAAACGTGTGAGAGGCGGGGAGGAGGACCCACTTAACGACCACCTCTACCTCCAAACGGCAGGGGCCCTGGCGGGACAGCCCGCTGGGCAGACGGGGATCGGCGCCTGCACCCGGCGGAGCGCGGAGCCCCAACCGGCGGGCTGGGGGAGAGCGAGCGAGGGAGCGAGGGAGCGAGGGAGGGAGGGAGGGAGGGAGGGAGGAAGCGCGAGAGGGAGGGAGGAAGAAAGGGAGGGAGGCGGCGTCATGTGATCCGCTTCCCTGCTCCTTTAAGCGTCCACAGGCGGCGGAGCGGCCACAATCACAGCTCCGGGCACTGGGGGAGCCCGAGCCTGCCGCGGGCGCCTTCCGTGCGGGTCCCATCGCCGCTGCGCTCCGCACCCCTGAAGTTTTGCAGCGCCCAGAAGGAAAGCGAGCCAGGGAGGCGGGAGTGAGAGCGGGGAGGGAGCCAAAATCACACGCTCAAACATTTATTTCAAGGCGAAAAGAAAAAGAGGGGGGGCGCAAAAATGGCTGGGGCAATTATAGAGAACATGAGCACCAGGAAGCTGTGCGTCGTCGGTGGGATCCTGCTGGCATTCCAGGTCGTCGCCTTCCTGGTGGGAGGCTTGATCGGTGAGTGCGGGCGCCGCAAACTTTCCCCGCTCCTCCGGCCCTTCCCTCTCCGCCTCCGGGGCTACTTGTTACAGTATCGCTGTCTCGCCTCTATGATCTAATTAGTCCGCCTATTGTGCCGGAGAAAGCAGAGCTCCATGGGGCTCCGTGGGGCACCATCCAGTCTAGTGGCGGAGAGAAAAGGAGGGGAAAAGTTTTGGCCTAGTTTCAGTATCCACTTGAAACGCAGGCGGGGGTGGCGGGGGGGACCCCGAGCATGGCGACAGGCCGCGCGGGGCCGCAAAGTTGACTGCTCGCCCCCTCCTCTTCCCGCGTCGCCCCCCTTTTCCTCCCTGCTCTCTCCCAGTCAGCTCCGGGAGGGGAACGTACCGACTTTATTACGAACAACAGAAGAGTCGGGGAACTGCGCCGGACGCAACCCGGAGCTCTGGGGCGAGGCTGTGATTGCCGCCCCTGTAAATGATTCGGTCGTCTCGGCCCAGGGGCCGCATTTGGGGTCCCGACCTCCTCGCCCTCCGCTCGCTGGCCGCGCGCCCACCCCGCCCTGGGCCGCGGACGGGTCGGAGCTGCGGGGCCGGAGCTGCGTCCGGGCGAGGCGCGGCGGGAGCCGGTGCGGGGCTGGCGCCGCGGGAAGTTGGAGAGGCTGAGGGAAAAGCTGCCGCGAGAGGTGTGGGTCTTGGCCTCCTGCCCGCCGGGAGTCTCCCCTCCCCCACTTGTTAGAGCCCCCGTCCCCCACTCCCTCCACGGCCCCCGCCGGTGACAGCTCCCGGGCCACCCGGCGACGGCAGCTGCCCTGGGGACCTCCCCTGGCGTGCACCCCGGGGACCCTCGGACAGGCTTCCCGGCGAAGAAGACCATCTCGCCTAACGTCCACTCGGAAACCGCCGTCCTCTCGCTCACTCTGCGTCCCATCCATCCCCCGCCTCTCCGCACACTTGCGCCCCCACCCCCTCGGGACATCCCGACGCAAACTTCTGCGCCAACTTTGCAGCGGCGCGGACCCGAGGTGCGGCTTCCTTACTTGGAGGCTTTGTTAAACTTTGCGGGACGTACAGAGTTCACGCAGGGGGCTTCCCCCGCGCGCCCCTGTGCGGGACCCCGCGAGGCGTGGGCTGCGGGCCGCGTGGCCGGGAGAGCTGCACCGGCCTCGGCACCCGGAGTCGTGTGCGCGGCGTTCTGTCTCACACTGGGGTTGGATCCGAGCGAGTTAATCAGGGACCCGGGCTGTACGTCACTGTAGCAGCCAAGCTAATTGTTTTGAACAAAGGAGAGTGGGTGAAGCTTCGTGGAGGAGAGGAATCCCGGGGACACTGTGCCTTTCTCTCTCCGTGTAGTGTATCCACGCAGCTGAAAGGCGTTCCGAGTTTTCCAGGCACGAATCCTCCGTTTGGACCAAACAGCTTCATCTACATCTTTTTATTTCTGGAACCCTCAGCCTGAACACGCGCGCACACACAGCCCGGTGTGGCTTTTGTGTCAGGAGCTTCTGTTTGACTCTGTACGGTCTCCATGTTTCCTCGTATTGGATTTTCCAGGCTCTCAATACCTTCTCTGCTGGGAGCTGGAGGCAGCCTTCCCTGCGCCCTCGCGGTGATTATGCAGCGGTTACAATTACATCTCTTGTCTGCCTTGATGAGCAGTTGTACTTAGATGCCATTGGATCTTGTGTGATTTCAGTGGCAGACCATAATTAAAATTTCTTGCACCTTGTGCTTTCAGAATTAAATTGGCCTATTATCCCTGTCTGACCTTCATCCTCTTTGAGGTTTCTGCACAAGCAGAGAACCATTATACATCGTTCCCTGGCGTTGGTTGGTGTGTTTCTTTTTCTTTTTCTAAAGCTGGTCTCCTGGCCTTGAAGAGCCCCATTATTCCTGTCGTAGGTTTCCTAGGGCACTTCTGGAACTACTGAGGACAAGGTCTGAGGGCTCGGAGTGGCTGCTGGATGTGAGAGCTACTGGAGAGTCATGACAGTTGTCTGTTCAAAGCAGGGTCTGTCTGGAAAGTGGTGCCCAGGGTGGTTTTGCCCAGAGGATTTGGTGAGTGACTAGACCTGACAGCAACCTCACCAAGTCAGTGTCAGGTGCTGACTGCAACTAGAGACACCTCAGTTAATAAACTGCTTTAGTTCCAGCTGTCCTTGAAAAAGAAGAATATCTACATAGAACACTCTTCTTGGGAGAGACTGCTGTACATTTGGTGTTCAGCTCTCCTCCTCGGTCAGTGGCAAAGGCTGCGTCCTCAGCTGTGGTCTCAAGACTGAGCAGATGAGATCCCACCCACGCAGACCAGTGCCTTTGAAGGTCATTTTTTCCCCTTAAATAAATCTAAGAATTCGGGTATGCTATAAGATGCAAACATGGGAAATAAATACCAAGGTATTTATAAACAGAAAAACAGAGTGAAAAACTGAGGAAAGCACAGAACTTCAACAAGGGGGGCCAGTGGAATAAGCAGCTGAAAACAGATTGTAGGCTGGAATGTCAAAGTACAGTTCAGAAACCACCTCCTGCGCGCGTACACACACACACACACACACACACACACACACACACGCCCCCAGTGAGAACTCCACTGTTCAGGGAGTGCACTGCTGCTTAACAAGTCGGTGTCCTGGGGGTGAAGCCTGGCTTTACTAGGGTCTAATGCACCTGTAGTAGCCCAAGTGAGGAGAGGAGTGTTTGCTTGTACCGGCCGTGATGTATGTTTGCTTTTGATCACTGTTTTCTCTGATGAAGCATGGCAACTTAGAAAAGGGAGAATCTAAATGGCCAATCTCCTTATTGTAAAGGTGTCAGTACACACACACACATCCCACAAAGACAAACAACCACCGCACCCAAACAGTAATGACAAAGCATAGCCCCAAAGTGACCCGGCAAGTCAGCTAAACTGACAGGCTCAAGGTTTCTCATTGGTAGACAGATGAGTTCAAGGTCATTTTCACTTCTACAATTGTCTGACTCTTAGTATTTCGAGAGTTTCATAGGACATTTAGACTGGCATTGGGTCGTAGCCTTCTAGAACTGAAGGAGAAACTTAAACATTAGCTATAAAAGGAAGTAGGGATTATGTTTTGGTTTGACAGCTTAAATACTCACCTGCTCTAATGTCTTTCTTTACTAAAAAAAAAAAAATTGTTTTTTTTACTTATACTGCTAAACCTTTAATAGGATTTTGCAAACAGGCTTTGAAAGCAATGCCTTATATGAAAGTAGAACTTGGGGCATTTATAAAGTCACTGATTTATATCATGCTTTTGTAAAAACTTTGTTTTCTTATGTATTCAGAAACCTTATAAGTGGCTAGTATTTAGAATTTATTTCAAAAAATGTAAGAATCCCTGAAGGAAATGAAAATATTTCTAAAGATATGACTTAATCTTAATCCTCCTTAAAAATAAGCCTGCAGAAAATTTAAAAAATAATTTTCCTTTGATTTCATGTTTGGTGAATTTAGTTCATGGACAGACAACTGTGGGGGCGGTGGGAAGGAAGATGAAGGAGGCTGACCTTGAAATGAGTGCAACGGACTAAAGATCATGAACTTGAATCTCTAGCCCATTATGTGCAATTTGCTCAGCTTCAAATTAGTCATGTCTGGGGAATAGAATGGTTGAAAAAGCAGGGCACTGTTCCTACCTGTCCTAAAACTGATAAGAGTGGGGAGATAAGGACAGGGTGAATAGAAAATTGTTACAATGTCTTAAGTGTACCCATAAATGAGAATGTTTTAAACTTAGAGTCTAAATGAATACCAGCAAATCTTTAGGAAGATTATTATCTTTAGGAAGAATCACTGTTTCTTTCAAAAGGTAACTTATGTGAGTGGCCTGTATTGGTTTTCAGTGAAGAGAATAGAATTTATACTGAATAAGCCACACAGCCAGGGAAGATGATCTTTCCAGGTTGTCCTTGGCTCTGTCTCCTTGCAGTGTGCCGCTCACACACTTGTGCTGTTACCGTGTAAGTGGGAACCATGGATGGTCTCGATCGTGGCCCATTCACGTGAACTTCTGTTCTGCTACTCTCATTTATGTGGAAGTCATAGAATTTGAAGACACTGTATAAAATTACAGATATGCAGACTCTCTATATGTGCTTGCTCCCTAGTATATTAGATTTTAAGCTTGTTACATTTATAGTTATATATATATATATTTTTTTTTTTTTTTTTTTTTTTTGAGACAGAGCCTCAAGCTGTCCCCCTGGGTAGAGTGCCATGGCATTACAGCTCACAGCAACCTCCAACTCCTGGGCTCAAGCGAGTCTCCTGCCTCCGCCTCCCAAGTAGCTGGGACCACAGGCGCCCGCCACAACGCCCGGCTATTTTTTGGTTGCAGCCGTCATTGTTGTTTGGCGGGTCCGGGCTGGGGATTCGAACCCGCCACCTTAGGTGTACGTGGCTGGCGCCCTAGCCGGTTGAGCCATAGGCGCCGAGCCTATAGTTATATTTTTACATATTAACGATGCAGTAGTTGTAATCTTGCAGTATTTGGGTACCTGGCAAGAATTTTTTTTTTTTTTTTAAGACAGAGTCTCAGTTGCCTTGGGTAGAGTGCCATGGCATCACAGCTTACAGCAACCTTAAACTCTTGGGCTCAAGTGAGCCTCTGGCTTCAGCCTCCTGAGTAGCTGGAACTACAGGCACCCACCATGACGCCCAGCTAGTTTTAGCAGAGACAAGGTCTCATTCTTGCTTAGGCTGGTCTCAAACTCCAGAGCTCTGGCAACCCATTGGCTTCAGCCTCCCGGAGTGCTTATGCTAACAGTCTCACAATGCTCTTTCATCTGAGTGCCCCTTGTCACGCAGCCCATATGGCCCCCACTGGAACTTTCTCTTTCCGTATAAAAGTGAGAAACTTTCTTTGAGATGATAGTGTTTTGTGTGGCATTGTAAGATTTTCAAGTTTCCTGACTACAACCCAGATCTAGACTCAAAGCCCTCCTTGTCTGGTTGACATTTTACACTAATCTGGCCTTTAAAATATTTCAAATACC